CCGCCGCCCCCCGGAGGGGCCCCCCGGCCCATCGGGGGGGGGGCATGGCGGTATGTCTCTAGTCCAATCCCACCCCCATCTCCACTCAGGCTCCCGGCCCCGCCCGCATCCCAGCCCCGACCGGGCCACTTACAAAGAGGCTGCTCGGCGGCGTTCTCCCCAGACGGCGCCCGACGGACGACGATGCTCTGCGGCGAGACGCTGGCGGGGCGGGTGGTGCCCGGGAAGGCTGGGACGGGGGATAAAAGGCTGCGGCTGGGAGGGGGGGGTCCCCAGCCAGTGACATCACCGGGAGCCCTTCCCTCCAAGCCACCCCCATCATCCTGGGGGGGGGGGAGGGCCGCCTGCTCCCCCTCCCCTCGCAAAGGTCTCCTCGGCTCCAGGCACCTTATATGGGGAAAGACTCCAGAAGAGAGCGCCCGAGGAGCCTTCCGGAGACATTCCCCGCATGCCTGAGTCAGAGAGGGCGGTTTTGGCCAGGGCCCCTCCGGGGGAGCCGAGCCTTTTTTAGGCAGGACGGCGCCCAACCTCAGCCCCGATGTTGAGCAAGGAGGGGCCGGCCCTCTGACTTCATCCTTGCCTCTCCCGGGAGGGATGGAGGGGGGGAGGGGAATTTCGCAGCAGAGGACCCCGGGTGGGGGAAGGGGGGAGCCGCCGCCCCCGTTCTTCGCCCTCCTTGTGGACCACCGCCCTGGCATCGCCAGCCCCTGGAGATGCAAGGATGAGGACGAAGGCCCCCTTCCCACAGGTGAAGCGCATCCACGCAGCAGCCCCAAACACCCGGCCCCTCCAGGCTGGCTCCGTCTTCTGCCCTTCCCCTTCCCCTGATTAACTGGGCCTCGAAAACTCAAGGCTTCCGGCAACTGACCTGGTGAAGTTAACAAAGTTTAACCGACCGGGAATCCCTGCGGAATTCTTCTTTCTGCCCGCAGAATTCCCAGGCCTCTTCCAAACATGGCCTTTGCCTCTGGGTCCCGGAAAGTCTTTTACGAGCTTTAAGGCAAGGAAAAAAAATCGGGAAGGAGCCCTGCGGCTCTTCTGATTACACCAAGGTAGACGTTGAGGGATACCTTGGCTGGACCAGCCCACAAGCTTTGGGGCACATGCAGTTTCTTCCTAATTTCAGAATGAGGAAGAACTGAGGGAGGAGCGACTGGCTCAAACCCATTCCGTAGATTTGAACTCAGACCCAAGCCAGGTTAGTGCTTTTCCCCATTCAAGAGAAAGTGAACAGTCCCAAGGTGAGGGGAAAAACCGTCCATAGCTCATCTGTTTGCTTGTCGGTTCACCCAGTTTACAGGTCCTCCAAAGACTCTCCCCAAGTTAGTGGTTACTCATGTGTTACCTTTAGGTCACATCCTTGCTGAAGCTCATTTGGAATCTGTTGTTGTTGTTAGTCTTGGCCATTGCACCGAGTTTGGCTGTGTCTGGATTCAGCCCTGCTGACCTCTGTAGCCGGATCATGAATTTGGAGGTGATGGGCAGAGAGCACAGATGCCACCCATGAGAAAAAAAAAACCTGCTTGTGATTTGGAAGTGGAGCATAGGAGGCAAGGGAAGAGGGTGCCTCTGAGCATGCACAGAGTGTGTCGTCCCCCCTCACCCTTACTGGCTTGCGCCACATATGTATTTGAAAACCATCCAGCTGTTCTCAACCTCCTTGTGCCTCTGCTTCTCTCTGCGGCAGCCAGCGCAACACGGAAGGTGGCCCAGCCGCTCCTGTTGCTGCGCGAGCCAAAACCGAAGGGGATGAGCAGCTGCCGCTCCCTCCCAGGTGGATTCGGTGCAAAGGGCAGCGCCAGCCAGCCCCGCTCAGAGCGGGTTCTTCTGCACCTTGGCCATGCCTCGAGGTGGGGAGTGGGGAGTGGGGAACTCCTGCTCCCCACCCCCGCTGTGCACAGACCCACAGGGGGCTGACTGACGGTGGGGCTTGGTGGACCCGACCAAGTTCTGCAGCCTGAGGTAGTGGTGCAACGGGGAGGGGGGGAGACGCACTGGTGTTGCCACTCCCTCCCCCTGTGGGCCCGGACTCCCTCCTGCGGCTGGCTCTGCCCTTTGGACAGCAGCGGGCGGGCAGGCGGCTGCAGGCAGGAGGAAGGGTGGAGAAAGGCCTGAGCTGCCTTTGGAGGAGGAGGAGGAGGAGGAAGAGGCTGCCCGAGGAAGGACTTGCTCGCCCTCGCTCTCTGGCTGGTTGAAGGGGCTCCTCCTGGACTGCTGGCTGTAGCTGAGAGGAGGGAAGGAAGGACTAGGAACTACCAAGAAGCCCCCACCAGGCCAGGCAGGACAACGTCCACCGGGACACCACCAGCCAAGACTGCGGACAAAGGTCAGGCTGATGGCCAAGGGTGCTCAAGGGAGAGCGTGGACGTGCTGGAGACGACACAGAGACGACCCCCCCCCGGAGGGGCCCTCTCCTCCATCGGCTGGTGTGGAGCTTTCTGAGTCCCTAAGGGACGTCCAAGGGGTCTGTGTAGAGTGGTGGGGCTCCTGGCTCCCTCTTGCTGGCCAGGCTGGGAGTGGGGTTCCTGTGGGGCTCTGCTCCTTGCCCTGTTGTCCTCCCAGACTCTGCCCCGAGGTCGAGAGCCGCTTGCCTGGTCAGCAGGAGGGGCCCATGACCTTTTGGTGGTGGTGGTGGTGGTGGGTGGATCTCCAAGGGAAGAGCAGGAGAAGCCGCTTCTGCTTCTCCAGCAGGTGAGAGAAGGGTGGCCGTGCCCGGAAATGCCCTCCGGGCTTGAAGGTGTCTGAAGGTGTCCTGAGAGCGCCCTCCCAGCGACCAGCCCCCTGTCCTGCCCTCCCTTGCAGATCCGGTCCCATGGCTTCCCCGGCATCGCTGCTGTGGCGAGGACCCCTCCCGCGGTTGGCTTACCGGCGCCTGGCCGGCCGCAGCCCTGGGGTCTTCTTCCTCTTGGGATTTCACGACACCAGCGACAACCCCAAATGCCAGGCCCTGGAGCAGTTCTGCCGGGAGACGGGACGGGCGTTTATCAGGTGGGTGGTGGGCTGGCTGGGTAGGGGAGCCTCCTCCCTGCCAGGCCCCCCTGGCCCTTAAAAGAGGTTGGTGGGTGGCAGCTGGCAGGGCCCCCAGCGCTCCTAAAGGGCGCCTCCTCTCCCCTCAGCTTTGACTACCGGGGCTGCGGGGCCTCGGAGGGCTCCTTCGAGGAGAGCCGCCTCGGGGACTGGAAGGACGATGCTCTGGCGGTATTCGACGAGCTCACGGCCGGCCCCCAGGTAGGTCTTTGGTCGGCTCCAAGCCTGCCTCTCCTGCACACTCCCCCCCCCCGAGCCCGCTTGGCGTCTCCCAGGCAGATTGCTCTGGGGAGTGGTGTCCTCCAGCAAGGGTCTGGCCAGGCAACCCTGTCCTGGGGCTTGAACTGTTCCAGGGGCTCCCTTTGGGCCATGGGTGGGGTGGAGGCTCGGTCCTCCTCCCGACCAACCCATGCCTAGATGGGCCACAAGAGCCAAGAGGCTGGACAGCTGTGGAAGGGCTGCCGGAAGGGCAACCTGGCACAGAGCGGGTGGCCACGGGAATGGAAGCAGGGCAGCTAAATCTCTCCTCTGCTTTCAGGTGTTGGTGGGAGCCAGCATGGGGGCCTGGCTGATGCTGCTGCTGGCTCTGGAGCGCCCAGACAGGGTGCTCGGCTTGGTGGCCACAGGAATCGGGGTTGACGGTTTCATCATCCACGCCCGAGAGCTCCCCAATGAGGTGAAGGACGGCGGAGAGTCAAGCCTGTCTTGACCCCAGCAAGGGGGGGGGAGCGGCAGGACAGCCCAGGGTGGGAAGCCCTTTGTGCCCCGTGGGGCCAGAGGAGGCCGAGGCTCACACTCCCTTCGGTGCCTAGATTGCCATGAGGGCAGGGGTGGGGTTTTCTGGCCCCTGTTTGCTGGTGGGTGGCTGGGGGCCCAGGCCCCTTCTGCCCTGGACGCTTGGCAGCTGACATGCCACCCTCTTCCCCAGGTGAAGAGCCAAGCGCAGCGCAGTGGCCGCTACGCCCTCCCTCGGAGCACGGGCGAGCCTCTCCTCCTGCACTGGGACTTCTTTGTGGAGGCCGAGCGGCATGGCTTGCTGGGGCGCCCCTCCATCCCGGTGGCCCGCCCCGTCCGGCTGCTCCATGGCCTGCAGGACGAGGTGGTGCCCTGGCAGCGGGCCGTGCAGGTGGCCGAGCGGCTGGAGAGCAGCGACGTCCGGGTGGTGCTCTTCAAGAATGGACAGCATGGCCTGAGCAGGCCGGAGGAGCTGGAGGAGCTGCTGGGGGCCGTCCGGGAGCTGCTGGGTTTGGCGCCCTAGGAAGAAGGCAGAAGTGCCCCCCGGGGGAGCCGGCCCCGGATGAGCCCACCGGGAGGGAGAGGGACACCTGGGCAAAAGGGCCCTGTGCCCCCCCCACCCACTTCAGAGGCGATCCCGACCGCTCCCTAATAAACCCAAAGCCTAGCACCCCGGCGGGCTCCCCCCCTTATTCTGACCCCAGCGGTGGTGGGGAGCTCCTGGTGCCCTGACAGCAAGGGAGAGCCTCGGGGGTGTGTGTGTCGTGGGGGAGGGACAGTAAGAGGCTTCTGAGTGGAGGGTGAGGGAGAAAGCGGGACCGTCCCACCACTCACCCAAACCAGGCACTCCGTCGTGCGCCATTCAGGTGTTGCCCTGCCCAAGAAACACAGGACAAGGCCGCCTGGTTCCCTCTTGTTGTAGAGGAGACCAGCGCACATGAGGAGACCAGTGAGCCCTCTTCCTGCTCCAGGGGAACGTTGCGCCCGCCCACCTTGCCAGCCTCTGGTCAGTAGACCTTGGAGAAGGGCCGGGTGCAGCGGGCACTCACCAGAGGCTCCACCAAGCGTGGCAGTCCGTGACCAGTGGGGTGCGGCATGCAAGGTAACATTTCTTCACATGCGAGCAGCAGCTGCTTGAAGGGGTTCCAAGGGGGCGTGGTGTGTGTGTGTGTTTAACTCTTTCCTCCCCTGCCATGAGCCCAAAGGAAGGGCTTTCTCCCTTTCTCTTGCAAACTCTCCCCCCCCCTCCGTGTGGCCCACCAAAGGCTCAGGGCCAACCTTCCAGCAAGCACAAGCTTCAGGAGAAGTTCAGCTGGGGGGAATGCCAGGCAGGAAACCCCAAAGACGAAGACTCTAAGCAAGGTGCATCACCTCCCCTTTGAAGGGGGTGTGTGTCTTGGTGGACTCCCACTCTGCGAGCACTGCATTTGCCATTCCTTGACCATCCCCGGTGTCCTCTGCTCCCCTCGGTGGTCCACAGGACCCAGCCCCCCTCCCAGGGAGCGCCCCTGACCTCCCAGCCCCCATGCAATCACTGAGCGCTCTCGGGGAGCCCCTCCGGGACTTCAGCCTTCCGCGCCCCACGGTCTGGTGGCAAGGCAGCGACCGCCAGGTGGGAAAGCCTTCCCTGGGTGTTTGCTCTTCCCTGAGCCAGAAGGGATGCCTTTACCCCCTTTACGGACTGAGCCGGGAGGGGGGGGGAGAGGGCCTCCTAGGGGCTGGCGGCAGAGCCAATAGAAGCTTCCAGGGGTTTTACCTCTTTCCTCGCATGCACAGCCCTGCTTGGGTGCCCAGCAAAGGAGTCCCGGGTGGTGCAGATGAAGGAAAGGCAGGCCTGCTCTCCAGACACCCCTCCCCAAAACCAAGGGCTCCTGCACAAAAGGCTTCTCTCTTTTTATTTCCTTGCATTTGGCAGCAGAAACCGTAGAAAGGAAAACAGCAGGTTTTTCCCCCTGCAATGTTTTACACAAAGAATGTTTTAAAAAACCAACCAACCAACCAGGGAAAGGAAACAGTCTGAACCACCATCAAGAACCAGGAATGGATGAACATATGAGACTCTCCTCATCCGGGGGGAGGGGGGGCAAGGGAGGGAGGGAGGGGAAGGGGCCTCCCCCATAAAGAGCAGGGGGGCAGGGCGCCAGGGTTCACAGCAGGCAGAGTGGGCACCGCTCGGCCACTGGCAGGCCCTTGAGCAGCCACTGCGACACGCCAAGGAAAAGAAGCCAACAGCCTGGGAGCCAGATTCAAACTCGGAGCAGGAAAGGCGCAGTTTCAGGCAGTATGACAGCGACGAGGGCCCAGGGAGGTCCTACTCTGGTCCCCCCCC